GGGGTGGCAGCCTCCCTTACACTATGAGCCTTGCAAGGCCCACTGCACAGGGCAAAGGACAGCCACATCCTTAATGCCCCATTTCCATCAAACAGATGCCATTGATAGCCAGAAAAAAATGGTTTGATCCAACCAAGTACTTTACATAATTGTTAAAAATGCGTCAATTTAGTTTTGGTCTTGGGTTCTTTTTCTCAGCTTTTTAAAGTAATGAAACACTTTCTGTGTCAAATCCAGGCACTATGGTGTGTCTCGAGGAATCTGGGCTGCATCTTCAGCAGAGTAGTCGTGAGGCTCCTGTCTCCTTCCCACCTGGTCATGTGGCTATTCAGCCTGATAAGAAGCCATATTACTCCAGAAGTCAGCACACAAGGTGTCAAGGCCCACACAACAACGGTTTTCTGTGTCCATGATTTTTACTAAGGGCTTTTCTTTTTATCCTACATAGTGCTGCCTGCCAGGTTGCTTCAAAATACCATGAGAAATAAGGAGACTGTATTTGCTTTGTACAATGTTAGTATTATAATCAAGACACTGTTTGCCATAGAAGAAAGCATGCAGGCACAAGCTTTTGCTTCTTCTTTTATTGCTTTACGGCTGCATTTCCCAAACTGGGTTCTATGAAATGCTTTTCAGAAAAAGGTGCCAGAAAGAGGGGAAAGGGTTGCAGTAAAAGTGAAAATTACAAACACGTGTATGAAATTCGCTGAGAGAAATCCAGAAAGCATGACAGCTGATTACAATCTCTAAGAAACCCAAGCATGGGCAGATGGATAATTATGCCTCTTCATCTAGCTCAGGCTTTCCTGGGTGCCTTGATCAGCAATCCCATTTTTTACAAGAATTAGCAACCAGCAGGCTATTGTTTGACAGTACATCACAAATGCTGCTCTGAGACATAGGAAATGCAGGCATTACAATCTTTGTTCTAAAGATGAGAAATTTTGGGCTCAAGCCACAAGACCAAGCTCACTGTCACCTAATAGGTGCAGATTTGCACTGTCTTCCATTCAGCATTTCTAGATCCAAAACTCTCTCACCTACCACAGGATTTTTATTTCCCGTGTCTCACATTTGCGTAGATTCTCCTACATGAGGACTTTCCACAAAGCCACGTACTGTCAGGCCATGACTGGTGCCTGTTTCCTTAAAATTTCCACTCATAAAACCCTGAATCCTTCTGCTTGCAAATCTGGAGCCCAGAGGTAAACTCACCCATACCATAAATAGCAGGCTGATTCTTGTTTTCCTCCTCCGGGCTCACTTTGAAGTAGACACATAGATTGAAGAATCACTTGTCGAAGTTTTAAGTCTCAACCAGTTGCTGGGGCTGTTGGTCAAACCTTACCGTTGTATCCCGACTGAAACCACCGTTTTTCTGTTGTATTCCTAAGTATAGTCACTCTCTTGTTGTCATGTGGTAAGACTTTTCCTAGGGAGATTCAACACACACATCTACTAACTCCAGATAGGGAGCCCATGACATACACGCTAGAGTACAGATTCATGGGCAAATTGGGATCCTGTCACTTCTTCTCCCTTTGTCTGTGACTGCTACGAGATGAACAAACCCTTCCAATACTCATTCATGTCATAATGTCTGACTGCACCACTGTCTCAAAAGCTATGAGCAATTCAAAAATAGGCTGGCATCTCAAAAAGAAAGAAAGAAGCTTGGGATTATCTTGAGGGTTTAGATACAGTAATAGAAATCTGACCAAGCCCAGACCACAGTTTATGCCTTCAATGACTTTCCATGCCAGTTGCTGTTCACCTGAGTTGTCTTGATTCACAGTCTCCTTTTGGATTTATTTTTATTATTTTTAAGTTTCTCTCTCTCTCTCTCTCTCTCTCTCTCTCTCTCTCTCTCTCTCTCTCTCTTCTCTCTCCCTCTTTCTCTCTCTGGAAAGGGGGGTGAACATGAGTGTGAGTGCACACAAAGGCTAGAAGCATTGGATCCCCCTAGGTCTGGACTTACAGGTAGTTGTGAGCAACCCAATGTAAGTTCTGAGATCACTTTGGGTCCTCTGCAAGAACAGTACTTGCTTTTAACCACTGAGCTGTCTCTCCAGCCCTTACTCATGGTCTCTTGTCCACTGAATCTACCACCATAGACACAAAGACTTGAAAGACCAATGGATTACCTGATAGACCAAAGCATTCTTTACTACAATCTTCAACTATTTTTTTCCTGACTAAACATTCTTTCCACTTCCTATGGAATCACATCTTATTCCTTAACTTTTGCTATTAAAAAAAAAAAAACCCAGGGAACAGAAGAGATAGCTCAGTAGTTAAGAGTGCTCTTGTGGAGGATCTGACTTCAGTTCCCAGCACCCCCATGGGGCTCACAACCATCTATAATTCCAATTCCAGAATCTGATGCTCTCTTCTGACATCTACAGGCACCAGGCAAACACATAGTCCACATGCATACATACAGGCAAACATTCATAGAAACAAAATACTAATAATAAATATAAAGGAAACCTCAGTGCTCTGCTCCCTGCCTCGATTTTACTCAGAGGTAAAGGGACTACTTGGCTGAGCCCTGGAACAAAGAGTCTCATGTTATATTTTTGAAAAGCTGTGCATATACTTGGAATGGATAAATGCCCTAATAAGGTGACTCAGATGTCTGATATGAAATGAGTCCTGAGGGGAAGATGAGAAGTGGTCAGATGGAGGGAAATCATACAGATACTGACATGAGAACTCACTGATGGAAACAATGAGTGAGTGTATTGAGGCTGCCATGATTTACTTGACACGCTACTGTCCACTTGAGGAAAGCAGAGCTCAGGCATAAAAAGGCTTAATGGGAAAGGCTTGCAGGGAAAAAGAAATACCTTTCTCCACTGTTATTGGTTTTTTTTTTTTTTTAAAAAAAAAAAAAAGATCTACTTTGTTATGTATTATGCATGTGTAGTTGAATGCCTGTGTAAAGTTACATGAACCACATGCATGCAGTTGCCCACAGAGGTGAGAGGGTGTTGGGTTCTCTGAAACTGGAGTTACAGGTGGCCATTTCTCTAGTACCTATCGTTTTTTATTAAATGTATTATATTATTTATCACATGTGTGTGCATGTGCACACATATTCATGCATGCACAAGTGTGTGCACCTGTGGGAGTTTATGTGTACCATGGGCATGTCGGTACCTGAAGAAGCCCAAAAAAAGGGGGGGGGGCATCAGATCCCCTGGAGCTGGAGGTACAAATGGCTGTGAGCCTCCCAGTATGGGTGCTGGGAACTGAATTCAGGTTCTCTGTAAGAGTAATACAGGCTGGAAACTGCTGAGTCATCTGTCTACCTCCTCACTACTCTGTCTGAGACTTGAAACGCCCTCCCAAGACCCATGAGTTTAAGTCTAAGTCTTTGCCTTAAGAAAGCCATTTCTCATCATGGATTTTGCAGGCAAATGGATGGAACTAGAAAATATCGTCCTGAGTGAGGTAACCCAGACTCAGAAGGACAAACATAGTATGTACTCACTCATGAGTGTGTCATAGATGTAAAGCAAAGGATAACCAGACTACAACCCACAGCTCCAGAGAAACTAGCTAAGAAGGAGACCCAAAGAGGAATGCATGGATCCCCCTGGGAAGGGCAAATAGATGAGACCTCCTAGAGTAAACCGGGCATGAGGGGTGGGCAATGGAGGGTAGGGGATGGAGGATGAGAACATAAGGGAATGGGATGGTCAAGCTGGAACAGGGATGGAGTGGGAGAGCAATGAAAGAGATACCGTGATTGAGGGAGACATCACGGGGATAGGGAGAAACCGGGTGCTAGGGAAGTTCCCAGGAATCCCCAAGGATGACCCCAGTTTAGACTACTAGCAATAGTGGAGAGGGTGCCTGAGCTGACTTACCCCAGTAATCAGATTGGTGAATACCCTAACTGTCATCATAGAGCCTTTCTCCAGCAACTGATGAAAGCAGATGCAGAGATCCACAGCCAAGCACCAGGCCAAGCTCCAGGAGTCCAGTCAAGGAGAGGGAAGAGGGATTCTATGAGCAAGGGGCATCAAGATCATGATGGGGAAACGTACAGAGACAACCAAACCAAACTAGTGGGAACTCATGAAATTTAGATCAACACCTGTGGAGCCTCCATGGGACTGGACTAGGCCCTCTGCATAAGGGAGACAGTTTTATAGCTTGATCTGCTTAAGGGGCCCCCACGCAGTATGATCAGGATCCATCCCTGGTGATGAGTAGGCTTTTTGTAACCCACTACCTATGGTGGGACACCTCGTGCAGCCTTGAGTCAGTAGGAGGGGCTTGGACCTGCCTCTACTGAATGTACCAGGCTCTGCTGACTCCTCATGGAAAGCCTTACCTTCTTGTAGGAGGGAATGGGGGAATGGGTTGGGAGGGGGAGGCTGAAGGGGCAGGATAGGGGAAGAGGGGGATCTGTGATTGGTATGTAAAATGAATAAAATATTTTTTAATTAAAAAAAAAGAAAGTCATTTCTTCTCTCTTTTGCTGGGGCTCTTGCATATCAGAACTCCAAGCTTCCTGACTGTGGGACTCCAGGACTCATGCTGGCAGCCCCTTGGTTCTCATGCCTTAGGCCTTGGACAGAGTTATACTATGAGATCTCTCAGTTCTGAGACCATCAGTTCTGATTAGGACACATCGTTAGGATCCCAGGTCCTCCAACTACAGATAGCCTATTGCAGGACTTCCCCTTCCCCAAGATAACACATGCAATTCCCCAATAAATCCCAAATATACACAGATTATATCCTATTGGTTCTATGTCTCTTGAAAACTCTCCCACAGGCATAAAACAATCTCCAGAGTGTGGAATAGGGGGTAGGCCTCCTCCTGAGGGTGGGCCTGGGCACACTGATCAACTTATAAGAAGCAGAATGAGGTCTCTGTGATTTGCAAGCATTTTCCTTTAAAGAAAAAAAATTGCCTTAGGACCAAAATATAGGATTCTGTGGAAATGAATATAAACTTTGTGTGGGTATATTTCAAATGGGTGCCAGTAGAGAAAACAGAAAGAAAAAAATAAGAACAGCATGTATTTGACGTAGCAAAGGACAATCTAATCCTCCTTTTTAATAACCCCCATCTATTCTGCATTCTTTTGGAAGAACGCAATAGAAGAAAAAAAAAACAAGGCCTTATTACATTATGACTATGACTAGCACAATTCAAAGTGATCAGGGCAGAATGCTTGCCAGGCATTACAAACATTTAAAACTATGCGTTTGTGCCAAGTGAAAGAGGCTCATTCTATTCTTTCCCAGCCTCATAAGAAAATATGCACTTGCTTAAAGGGGTCATTCAGCTGCCAAGGAAATAATAACCTCAGGTTTTCAGAATAAATAACACTTTAGTCCGTGTTCCAATTCACAATATCAAGATCAGCTATGTGTGCCCTGTGTCTGCAGAAGAACTCATAGCTAGCGCTTGCACACAAGGTCTAATTTACCGATGTAATAAAGCAGGAGTGGGCACTTCAAAGTCTGCTTTGCAGGTGGTAAAGACATGAGGCAGAAGGGTGTCAGTATTGTTCAAGGTCACACAGACCCTCCCACTCCTAGTGCACATAGTTGTCTGCTCTAGCAGGAATCCAAACAATAAAATAAAATAGCTCTTTAGTCTGGAACCAATCACTTGCCGGCCCTTCACAACATATTTCTGTTTTCTTTCTGCTGGAGTAATTATTTGTATTTATAAGGTAATTTTATTTCCTTATCAATCACGGTTCTCACACACATTTAAGAATTTCCTTGAAATGATATTCCACTGCCATAGAGAAAAAAATTGATTGTGATATGTTTGAAAGAATTAGGTGCCCAATTTAAAAAGCAATTATTCTCATTGACATCTTATTTGGCAGGAAGCTGGGAGACAGGGCCCTGGGCTGTAGGAACACAGTCCTAGTAAAGACAGGCAAGGGAAGAGCTTCAAGCCAGGAGTCGGCTGCGATACTAAGGCAGGTCCTACCTGTGCTGGGGAGTCCTGAGTTCCTGTCTAAGTCCCAAGCTCCTCATTGCCTACCTGTGCTGGAAAGTCCTGAGTTCCTAAGTCCCAAGCTCCTTACTGCCTACCTGTGCTGGAAAGTCCTGAGTTCCTAAGTCCCAAGCTCCTCACTGCCTACCTGTACTGGAAAGTCCTGAGTTTCTAAGTCCCAAGCTCCTCACTACCTACCTGTGCTGGAAAGTCCTGAGTTCCTAAGTCCCAAGCTCCTCAATGCCTACCTGTGCTGGCAAGTCCTGAGTTCCTAAGTCCCAAGCTCCTCACTGCTTACCTGTGCTGGAGAGTCCTGAGTTTATGCATGTTCCTGTCTGAGTCCCAAGCTCCTCAGGATACAAGTGCCTGGGCCTTCAGATCAGGGTGATTAGTTCTGCTGAATTTTCAGGAGAAAGAGTAAATAAAGTTGTCTATAAGGGGTGTCCAAATTTTTTAGTGCTAATACCATTTTTTAATTCATTTTCAGGTCATCCTGGGCTAAACCCAACCCAAATGCAGGTCAAACCTACAGGCCATCAGTATGCATAACTTTTGCATAACATCAAGTCCTTGATTCCCACTGTGGTTGGCGCTTTTGTTTCCAGGCTGGGAAAACAAGCTATTGGCTTCTCCCTACGGGATGTCTGCTGGGTGGATAACCCTTGAACAGTGACAGAACTGGAGAGTCTCTGTTGGAACTCCACAGGGTAGGTGACTGCTTTGTCTCCTGTGACCTTAATGCCTTAATCCACTGGTCCTAACGCGGTTCCACTCCTTAATATGGGGCGTGGATGAAGCACTCTAAGGAGGCCCTGACATTCTCATCATCGAGGTGTCTTTTAAGCCTGTGGTTTTAGGATGACCTCTTTCAGCATGGTACCATCAGACTCCTGTTCAGCTGGTTGCAGCAAGCTTCAGATGACCTCCTCTTACCCTCTTGTCACCTCAGTGACAGAAGTGCCAAAGATAAGGCATGCAAACCAGAAACACAAGGGTCTAGAGCCAGCAGTGAGAAGAGTGGCCAAGCAAGTGACAGGGCCATAAACTAACTCACTCTTTCAACTTAGACTTAAGTGAACAAACCTCTTCCGTTGGGCTTGATCAGCCACCCGATGACTCCACCCACGGCCACTGCTGCCTCCTTCATCCACTAGTGGGCCAGTTTCACAGGCCCACGCTCTGTCTTCAATTTCTTAATTCTCTCTTGAGCCTATCTTTCCTCTAAGTGAAGTCTGCTGGGAAAACTGAATATGCACATAAGCAGAAAAGTCATGTGGAAAAAAAGAGAAAACTCTGCATTTTTGTACCTTTAAGAGGGGAGAGAAATACTTTCTGTTATATATGCAAGCTAGGGAGACCCATTAGGTAAGAAGTTATTCAAGATGGTTTTCCTTGTTAGCCTAGGCTAGCCTTCAACTCCCTATGTAGCTGATGATTACCTAGAATTTCCGATCGACCTGCCTTTACCACCCAAGTGTTGTTATTACAGGCATGGGCCATGTCACCCAGTTTTGTTCATGGCAATTCTCCAGTTTTTCTACAGACATCAATTTGCTGTCTTACAATTTAATCCAGCTCTGGCAGAGTTGGAGCCTTGGTGCCAACCCTACAGGGGAAGGCCAGACTTGCCAGACTGCCCCTGTTTCAGGTCCCCAACACAACAAGGTGGACTTCCCTTTTGACTTACGACTGAGGGAAGCCAGGGCAAGAACTCAAGGCAGCAACCTGAAAAAAAAAAAAAAAAAAAAAAGAACTCGAAGCAGAAGCCATGGAGGACCACAGCTTGCTGACTTCCTTCCCCTAGCTTTTCCTGCTTGCTTTCTTACACAGCTCAGGCCCGCCTGCCTAGGGATGGCACTGTTTACAATGGGCTGGGCCCTTCTGCATCAATTAGCAATTAAGAAAATGCCTCACAGACATGGCCACAGCCCAATCTGATGGAGGCAGTTTTTCAGTCGAGGTTCCTCTTCCCAGGTGACTGTAGGGTTGTGCCAACTTGACAGCTGAAGCTAATTATGACACTTACTATCACCGGTTTATGATAAAGGGCACAGCTCCAAAGCAAACACACAGAGGAGATTATGGGGCAGAGTCAGGGAGGGTGTTTTTCAGGTGCTCGCAGAGGTTTCTAGTGCACCACCACTTAGGTTAAGCCCTCCTGGAGTTGTCTGCTATGCTTTGGAAGTGTCCCTCAAAGGCCCATGTGTTGAAACTCGATCACTAACTGCTGGCACTATTGGCAGGTGACAGACCCTATCGCAAGTGAGGCCTAGTAGAGGAAGTGTGACCTAGGCCAACCTCTGTTTTCTCTCTTTGCTTCTTGGCTTTTGTGAGGCAAGTGTCTTTGTTCCACAATGTGCTGCACACCATGGCATGCGACAGGACCAGGAGCAATGAGCCCGACTAAGCAAAGACCGAAACCTCTGTGTCGATAGCCCAAAGTAAACTCTCTTTTTCACTTATCTCAGGTACTCATTCATGTGTAGAAAGCCAAGATCAATTACACACGCTATGTCAGCAGAGCTCAGGGCAACCAGCTCCCAGGACCCAAGATTTTCCCACTCGCATCAACCCTGGTAGGGTCAAGAGGGGTTTGTTACACATAAGGAAAGATGTTCCTCTCAACTCTGCCTCCTCGGGGAATCTCAGGGGTCTTCGAAGCTGCGTGCCAAGAACCAGGAGCTATTTTTTGCGGCTGTTACAGCTCTAACAGTTTTCTTGTCCCCGTCAGCAGGAGGCCCAGCATTTTCATTTCACAGTGAACCTTACAAATTAGAAATCATATGTAACCTACAGAAATTGTGGCTTTGGTGGGCCACAGGAGAGGTGTCCAGCCTTCCTAAACCCAAACCACAACCCTTCGACTGTACTATGATGGATACCATCCTCACTCAGTAGGTAAGCTTGCTCCAACGCCTTTTGAAACCCGGGGTCCTGTGCAATGCTCTAACCTTACCAAGTGTCGGGGGACTCTGAGGGCAGTATGCCTTCGTCTTTGCCTCCTCTTCTTCCACTTGTGATCTCTCTCTGCCCTGAGCAGCAACATTACAAGTAAAATGAGGAGCAGAGGAAGGCAGAGGTTTGTGGCAGAGAGAGAAAGGCTGTGCAGTGAGAAACTCCGCCCTTCAGGATTCAGGTTCCTCACGTTGGCTGTTGCCCAACGACAGTCATAGCAAAAGTTTACTCTGCATGAAACCCTCAGCCTGCTAATGACACATTCATATGGGTGTGGTGTGTATTTTAAGGACTTACAGGGAGACTAAATTTACTTTCCTCGAATTCTCATACTCTCTGTGTGGGAAAGCACCTGTTTTATTTTGATTACATTTTTTGTCTGTTGCTAAACTCTGCCTCTGAGCCACAGATGAGTAAGCAGCATTTCTGGGCTACTGCCTAGGTAGCATCTACCCAACTGGTTGTCTTTATTTTCACCAACCATGATGGAAACATGCCATTTTTGAAAATCCTAATTCAATTATTGCCCCCTCCCCAGTCCCTCAAATACTCTGATCACTGCAGATCTAGCCTTTGAAATAAGCAATTCTCCTGCAGGACCCAAACTACAGGCTGATCCACTAAAAAGCCTTGGGGATTTTGACACCTACCTGAAATGTGTTTGTACAGTTCCCCGTGTGTGTGTGTGTGTGTGTGTGTGTGTGTGTGTGTGTGTGTATGCCCATTCATGCATTGTTCTAGAAACAAATATTACTCGAATGCAAAAAAAAGAAAAAAAAAGTGCCAGGTACTAGCCAGTGCATTCTCCATTCCTGAAACAATTATAATCTATTCTGCCACCGGGTCGAGAGAGTCAGGGGCAAAAGGCTGTTACAACTTTCAATGCTAAATTGTCCTCATGAATGTTCCAGTTCTCAAAACGCTTAGGAAGAGACTCCCATCTGCTGCCCTGTGGTAGCGGGGAAAGTTAGATTAGCTTTCTCAGCCTATTTGCCCATCAGTAAAGTGAAGCTATTAACACGTTGCAGGGACTGCTGTGAAAATGTAATGAGATAACATTGTATGTGAGTCACCCTCATCCCCAGGTCAGGGCCACCATGGGCTTGATACATGGAAGTCCTTGGCCCTCCCAAGGGAGGTGCTTTCCTGATTACCGGTCCTCACCACCTGTGTTCTCCTGTGATGCTGTGCTCTGCAATTCCCAGCAGTTTTAGCAGCATGACCCTCCAGCCCAGAGATAAGATGCTGTGGAATTGCCTCTGCTACTCGGATCCGTGGTCCCAATTTGATATATTACTAATGCAGCCAGCTGCAATGCCAATGTTAGCAATTCCATCCCCTGCACACCTCCATTCTGTCCCACAGCTGTGAATACAAGTGCCATCCTCTCTGGCCTGGCTGTGAGTCTAGAGTACAAAGCAGCTGAGGATACTGAGGTGAGCCAGCTCTGCAGTTAGGCAGCTCCTGCTGGTCCTTCTCCTGTTTGCCTACAGCCCTACAAGAGTGTTTTCATCCTAGATGGCAGACCCTCCGCTCCAGAGAGAATGGCTGCCTTGCCATGGACCAGGCCTGGCTAAAGCTATTCTGGGAAGGTACATTTCTGGTCTTCCAGGTAGAGGTCTTGGGAAAGCCATGGGGAAATGGATTCTTACATGGCCCAATCTCTTCTTAGCAGACAGCCTCATACTCAATCCCCTTTAAGTGATGCTGCAGGACAAAAACATGCGCAGAGCCCTCCCTCTGTGAGAGGGATTTCAACTTGTAGGTACCCAACCCTAATATCAACATCACATTATCTGAAAACTCGAAGCCTTGGGTTCTGCCCAGGCTTCCTGATTCAGAAATGCTGGTCTGCTCTGAGGGTCAGAACCAAGGACAATGGTTCTATGGTAGCTTCTAACATGCCATCCTGGTCTGCTTGCTCTCTCTCTCTCTCTCTCTCTCTCTCTCTCTCTCTCTCTCTCCCTCCCTCCCTCCCTCCCTCCCTCCATCTCTGATTCTAATATTCATCTTCCTTAGGAGTCTCTCCAGCTGTTGTCTAGTTTCATCTGTTTCGTTCTGTGACATGGCCCAACTATGTAGCCCAAGCTGGCTTTGAACTCACACTCATCCTGCCTCAGCCTCCTCAGTGCTAGGATTCAAAGGTTAGAGTACCATGTTCATCTGCTATGTGGTTGAGGCTTTCCAAATGTCCTGATAACTAGAGAATCTCTACTCTAATAAGAAAATCATCCTCTCTCTCTTTGGGAATCAGTAACATATTCTCAAATCTACTTTGTATCCCTTTTCACAGATGCAGGACATTCACTTGCCAAATTCCACCAGGAGCTGGGAACCCACTGAGATTTTCCCAGGAGGCAACTGGTGCCATTCTCTCTGTGGCTCTGGGAAGGTGATTCTATGTTGACTCAGTTCACACACACACAAAAAAAACCTAGACACTCAAAGAGTACTCGGGCAGGACCAGCTTAATAAAAGTAGGTGGTAGAATGAGATCAGATGTGCCATCGTCAATTGGCATGCCTCAGAGCATATGTATATTTCCAGTGCTGCTGCAAACCTGTCATTACAAGTGTGGTGTTAAGCGGGATTGGTTTATACCACGTATCCAATCGCAAATGTATCTACAAAGCACATTAGTGTCTCCAAGTCACTGAGAATTATTCTTACCCATCACTGACCATTTCGGATTCCAGTCTTAACAAGTGTAGGCCTGGCCACCTCTTACGCCTGGCACAGCCTGGTACCCCTGTTTGCTTCACTTTCTCGCTGTTGCTTTACTTCACTGTTGCCTTCCTGCCAAATATGCGTAAGCTGGTACATATTCTCAATAGCATGCTTACATCCTCTCTGTGTGTTTCTCTCTGTCCCTGTGTGTGTGTGTGTGTGTGTGTGTGTGTGTGTGTGTGTGTGTGTGTGTGTGTATCTGTCTATCTGTCTCTCTGTTTCCCCTACACACACCCCCAATCATACTCTACTGCTCCAGAAGACAGAGGATCTTATAAGTACTGCTCATTCCTATTCCTCCAAACTGAGCTCATGATTCCTTTCAATAGATAGTGACTCTTTGGAGTCCACAGCTTCTCTAACTAGAGGGGAACCCTCAGAACCAGGCCCAGGGCAGATGGCACATATCATCCTCAGGAGCAGTGGCCCCCACAGGCCTCACCTGAATGGAGCCTCACACAGCATTTCTCCCAGTGCTGCTGCATGGTGTTGCTGATCGTAAGTACCAGCTTTATTCACTCAGTAGTTCATGCGCTGACTCTTGGGTACTTCCTGCATTTCAGGGATACAACAGTGCAATTCAGACCTCCCACATTAATGTCTTCTGTGTGTTTTGGGGTTTTGACAGGGACTTGCTCTGTAGCCCAGACTGGCTTTGAACTTGTGATCCTCCTGCCTCTACCCTCCGGAGTGCTAGGATTACAGACATGCATTAGCTGCAGTTAGCATTTTCAATAATCATATATAATTTTTCAGTTCAGATTTAACTAGGGGTTACTAGACCTCCAAGGAATGACTATATATAGACACAGAGTCACAGTATTGTCTCATATTCTTAGTGTGGTCTACTGATTCCTACTGTGTTACCCTTTGTATTTATTGTAGATTGTTTTATGATTAATGTCTCATGCAATGGGCTTATGAAACCCTTCTGATTTCCCTTAATGTGCAATCCTGATTTAACAAGTGTTTTGCCACTGTAATTGCATAATTATCACTTGAGACATTTTTGAGTCTTTTCAGCCTGAGTTCTCTATCTTTTGTTCTATTCTTATTCCAGCATTCCGGGCCACTTTGGATGCCTGTCCTCTTTTTCTACATCCATTCTGCCCCCTTGCTTTGTTCTCAGCAGCACCTGACACAGTGCAGAGCAAAGAGCCTAATGTCTGACTATCTCAGGCCAGAACATTTGCCACTGTGGAATAGCTGGCTGGTCCTGTTCAGCTTACAAAACCTCCCTGAGCCAGGGAAGGGTCTGTTGAGACGTGCAACATGGCCGCTACCTTCATAACTGGCCACAGGCTTTCTACAGACAGGTCCGAGTCCTGCAGAAGCACACAACTGATTGACTGGGAAGGGGGAGTGCAGGCACTTGCCAGGTGCTGGCTACATTTCTTCTACAGTGGCCTCCTGCACAGTGACTACCCAGCAGACAGACACAACAGTCTTCTATTATGTTCTGCTTGCTTGCCAGGGCCATGTGCAAAAGGGCACATACCACTTCTAAAAAGCTGTACTTTGCTTGACCCGAGACCTAAGTATGGGCATTTCCAAGTTATATTATGACGAAGTCTATAGCTCCATCTGCATCTATCTCATCTCTTTTATGTTCATGCTTTCTATTTATATGTATCATAGATACAAAAATAAAAAGACATATACAGGAATTCATGAGCACTGTTTGTAACAATTTCTCCAGTAAATAAAATAAAGACATGTTAAAACTGGGTGAAATGTTTAAGTTGGTAGTCCACACCTGTAATCCCAACACTGAGTCCAGATGATCAAGAGCCCATGCAGCCTGAGTCATACAGAAAGATCCTTTCACAAGTAAACAAACACAGGAAGGTCGGGTTTGCCCAGTCAGAAAGAAACAATGGAACATCCAGGGAGCTACTTGCTTTACTTTGACAGTTTTCCACAGATACATGGCTCTCATCTTCCAACACGTAACTGCTGTTTCTCCTTTGGTACAAGGATAGAAACAATCCATTATAAGATTCCAGGGTCTGCAAGACAAGGAACATGACTGATGCTGACATTTAGACCTGGGAGAATTCCTCCTTTGGGCCTTTATGAATGGATGCTGTGCAAAAGAATAGATGCCTCTAGCCTGCATTCATGGATTCATTACAGATTTATTGATTTACAGTCTTTCATTCCTTATCTGAAAATATTAAAAATGAAAATAATAACACAGGATTTTCTTTCCTCTAGTCTCTGCATAATCCTCAGCATCTCCCTTTATGCAGTGAAAGGTTTTAACCTGAAAGCATATTTTCCAAATGAACTTGACGAGTCATTTTTTTCAGGTCATGACTTCTTTTTGTGCCTCTGTTAATACTGTCCACATCCATGCCCAGACAGCAAATGTGCTGGCTTGTGATTAGAAGGTTTTGGGGAATAATGCTGGATGAATAAAATAGTCTTTTATTTTGAATGCATATGGACATCTTTTCATATGTCATTTTAGTAAAATATAAAGTGTATGAATCTTTATATTCATTTTGCATTTGTATACTTTTTGATCTTCATTTAAGTGGATTCTCTCAAGGAACTGCCATTTTCCAAAACATCAGTGCCTCCTGCTATTTCCAATCCCCTTTCTCATTTCTTTTGAATTAATTCAACCCCAGATGTGTGACACACACACACATACACACACACACACACACCACACATGCACTCACACACCTATGTGTACACACATACACACACACACACACACACACCACACATGCACTCACACACCTATGTGTACACACACACACACACACACACACACACACACACACACACACACAGAATGTCTAGAGTGGGACCTAGTGCCTCACTGTGAGTCAGAAAAAAAATGAAGAATATAAGGGATTTGCTCTTAACGATTGTTAGTGGCTACCATTTAGAGCCGTTAGTGGTTCTTAGCCCCGACAATAAGTAAGGCTGGATCTGATGACCAGAAAATAATCACTGTCCTCTCAGTGTTTACTCTTTCCAAAGCACCTCCAGGACAACACTACTGGTTTTCAACCTTCTGTCTCCTTAGCAGCCTCCTGTGAAGATGCACAGACCTCAGAGTCGGGAGCATACAAGCGCTGGAGCTTCATTTCATGATGGGACTTCCTATCCCATGGCTTAGGAAGGGCTATTTCTGTTGAACAAGTGATTAAGTATTTCCAAATGAAACATTTTTGAAAACGTAAGAGTGATGTTTTTCATCTTGGGCCTCCTTCGCTCAGTTTCCGTGGTTCAGCAGCGCCACCCAGTGTTAAAACCATTTCCATGAGAAAATTCTCCCCTTTGCCTTGTGAAAGTGAACCTGGGAGTGTCTTTGAGCATCACATGAGAAGAAAATGGGCATCCACAGAATGGATAACAATACGCCTGGGCAGTTCAGAAAAGTTCTGACCTAGAATGCCACCAAGATCACCCAGGAAACAAAAGGACTTTCCAGTCCCACCCAATTAATAACAGGGGGCAAGCCAGGACTAGCCCAGTACCAAGTAGTCAGTAGCATCCCGACAGTGAGGGCCATAAAGACAAGATCATGTGGATGACGGGTCAGTCATGGCTGGACCAGATCTCAGAGATGACATCTTTCACTTTATACATGAACTAAGACTAAGCAAAACTTCACAATATGCACAAGTCCACAGCCAATGACTTTGTAGCTCAGATAAAAGTGTGTACCATTCACCTCCTGGGTCATCATTCTCCTCCAAAATGTCAAAACTCAAGATGACCTAGTGTGACAGTCCATAAAGAAGTATATGGGGAAAGGTAAGAATAAAAACAGCTGGGAGGCAGAGGCAGGAAGATCTCAAGGAGCCAGCCTGGGCTACAGAATCAGATATTGTCACCAAAAAAAAATGAACAAGAAAAAAAAGGAAGAATATATTTCTCATCTCTATGTCTTTTTTGAAACTCTAATGTTAAAATTCTTAATGTTTGGAAATAACAGAGCTCTATATATAAAATTAATTAGAGATAAAAACCAAGTGCTAGAAATAGCTTGTTATGCTAAAATGAAAGTAGAGGCCGTGGATATGAAGCAAATCAAGAGATGTGCTGGAGACTCTCACAGGCTGGGTCCTTGTTCTGTGATAATCTGTTCTTTGTATAGGAAAGGCCGTCCTTGATCAGGGCCAGAGCTGCTTTCCCAACAGCAGTTACATTTATCCCACCACAGTTACCCCACGATGCTTAGAATGTGTTTTGTTTCCTAATGAGTGAAAAGCAAGTGTTGTGATGGAACCTAGCAACATGGACATGGATGGAAGCCCTATTGTTCATCACCTGCACAGTTGGTCCACTTCCTTAGCCATCATGGTTCCTGATGGCTTTAATCTTTAACAGTGTGTGTGTGTGTGTGTGTGTGTGTGTGTGTGTGTGTGTGTGTGTGTGTGTAGGTAAAGGAGTCAAATCTCTTTCCACCCTGTGAGTTCTAGGTATAGAACTCAAGCTTGGTAGCAAGTGTCTTTACAAGCTGAGTCAATTAACAGGCACCTCCTCCTGACATATCTTTAAATATAGCAATTAATGAAAATAAGATCAAGTTCACGGTACCCAGTATTCAACTGAGAATTATTTTCTGACATTATACTGCAAGATTCTCTAACATGCAGAAAAATTGGAAACATTTTCCTATATGCATATACCATCTCACTTCTGCAATTCTTTTTCACTACACTGGATTTATAACAATACATGTATCTACTATGCCCATTCACTGGTGAACCTGTTATTTGTAAGTACACCTCACAAGCTCAAACATGAGTAATTTTCTCCATGACATTTTATTTTGGAAGTAAAACTCACATGTAATGAAACACATTCTCTCTCTCTCTCTCTCTCTCTCTCTCTCTCTCTCTCTCTCTCTCTCTCTCTCTCTCTCATTCTTACTCTCTTGCTCTTGTTCCGTGTGTGTGTGCATGCATGCATATGAATGAATGTGTGCATGTGCACATGTGTGTGCAGGTGGAGGCCAGAGGTCATTCCTCAGAAGCTGTCCGCCTTGGTTTTTGAGACAAAGTCTCTTACTGGGCCTCACCAATTAAGCTAAGTCGACTGATCAGCAAGTACAAAGGATCCACCTGTCTCTGCTCCCCCAGCACTGTGACTGCTTGCTCACACCGCTGTGTCCAGTGTCTTCTTATGTGGGTTCTGGTGAGAGAATTCAGGTCCTCCTATTTGTGCAGCAGTGCTTGATGACTGAGCTGGGACCCCACCACACAAATAAATCAAGTGTACCATCTGGAGAGTTCTGAACAGTGCTCACACTCTACAACCCAAGCCTCTCTCGTGGCACCTGGAGCATTGATGCCACCCCCTAGAATGTTTCCACATGACCCCTTCCGGTAAACTCCTGAGCCAACAACCAAAGTGCAACCGCCACCCAGACTCCTCTCACCACGCATTAGTTTTGCTCCCATCAAAAGCTGGCCCGATGGGACCCAGAGCCTGTGTTCTGTTAAGTGGAGGCTCTCACTCATTAACCAACAAGATTACACCCAGACAGGTACAGTCTCCATTAGTGGTTGCTGCTGGCTTCCTAAGAAGTGTCACATCTATAAGATGACAAACGCAACCCCACATACAAATCAAGACTCTTGTGGGATAGTGCATCAGTCTGTCTTTTTCTTTCCTTAAGATTTATATATATTAATTATACGCAATAACGGGTTTCATTGTGCATTGTAATATAGGCATCTAAAGTATTTTAATAATATTCACGCTCATTACCCTCCCTCATTCCTCTCCACTCTTGGTGATTCTCTTACCAGTCTGTCCCTTTTGTATTTTCATCTGTTCTTTTAACCTATCGTTTTTGCCTTGGCAATGAAGAGTTTGACCGCTAGATGGCAGGAGGAACTCATTGTATCATATCCACTTCAGTGCATAGCTCACTCCCTGTTCGCCTATCTTGACATTTGATTAAAAACATAGGTGCAAACAACAATCAAGAGTGGCCATATTGATGACTAGAATTTATGCACGGGAAAACTAATAAGCAACTGAAGAAATCCACAGAGGAGGCTAATTACTAGATGAGAGATTCTTGAGTGTCTGTGCACCTGTTCGAGGGCTCTGGGCAGCTTCGGATGGAGGTATAGGGTGTGCTAGATGATGTGCCTCTGAGGACTGATTGTGGAGTGCTGACTGCAGTCACATAGTGATAGCTAACAGCGTTCAGAGGAAGGACTTTCACATCTGCTTTAAATAAAATACTGTGAAAAGCCAGCGTATTGACTCCATCTCCACTGTCAAATTATGATTTAAATTCACAAGAAAGTAGACAAAGTGTGGAAGGCTTGCATCTGGACCATCATAAATAGCATTAGCCACATATAAAAATGATTGAAGAATTCAGAACACCCAGAGAGAAGTTAAGGGAAGGTGCCAGGGGCCAACTCATAATTTGTGGCATTGATAATAAGGTGTGCAATATAGGAAAGGTTACACTAATGTTAGCCACCAAGGAAAGCACTAATATGGAGGTTCTCAACCTTCCTGATGCTGGGGCTCCTTCACACAGTTCTTCATGTGATGGTGACCACCAAAAATAGTTAGTTTCGTTGCTACTTCGTAACTGTAATTTTGCTACTGTTATGAATCACAGTGTATACATCAGATACGCAGATAGTCTTAGGTGACCCCTGTAAAAGGGTCATTCGTGATCCACAGGTTGAGAACCACTACTAAACAGAGCAAGAACAGATTTAGGAGGCAAAACATCTTCCCAGGAGAAGAAACATGTGTTCTGGTTTGTTTTCTGTTGTGTGATAGACACTATGACCAAAAGCAACTTGGCAATAAGAACTCTCTTTCATCTACAGGACATCATCAATGGAGGAAACTCAAGGCCAGAGCTTAAAGCAGAAACCATAAAGGACCTCTGCTTATTGGGTTGCTCACAGGCTACCTTTATTATTTAGCTCAGACCCAACTGCCTGGGGATAGGACCACCCACAGTGGACTGAACCCTTCTTCATCAATTAGCGATCAGGAAAATGCTCCCACAGATGTTCCTGAAGCCCGAACTGGTGGAGACAATTCTTCAATTGAAGTTCTTTCCCCCCAGATGTGTCAAATTGGCAACCAAGATTAACCATGCAAACGTGTGACAAACTGATTTTCCTTTATTGCATATCCTTTCACTGAATCATTCACATTGAAGGGTCAGAGGACAGTGAGATCAAGCCAGTGGCTTGTTAGTCAGACTTTGAAACTTGCACCATCTGTAGGTGCTCCAGGATTTCCATGTGAAAAGTTTATTTGGGGAAGTGCTTAGATAAACATTAAATAACAATAGCTCATGGTAGCCAAGTGCATCCTGAAACACCAGCTGATCTCTGTGAGGTTTTGAATCACGTACTGCAATTAGCTGCTCACAACTCCAGTAAAACCAAGAGATTCTTAAAGTTACAGCATTTCTTGGGGGCTCCCCTATTGAGCCCTTCCTCACCTCACAGCCCACACAAAGCCTGTACCTACCCTAACACCCTCACATAGCCACTCCTGGATTCCCAGGTAGATATCCACATTTATTTTTCTTAACAAATAAATGTACTTAAGTAAAAAAGTGTGAAACAGTTTAATTGATTATTTGAGAATCTCACAGCATGCAACCCAATTGTGTTCACTTCCCATGTGGCCTCCCCCCTCAAAAAAAAAAGTCCATTTTGTGTTGTCCTATATTCACTGGAGCGTGGAGCATGATCAAATTCCTAGTACCCAGCCCACCAAAGGAGGGTGAGTCTTTATCCATCAGCTGAGGAGAGCTGTGTGGTTGGTGTCCAAGGGTTTTAGCTCTCCTGCACCCCTACACCCACACCACCACCTGCACCACAGTGCTGAGGGCTGGTGAAGGGTGGGGCCAGCTCTGCTGTGAGGGGCAGGACCAGCTCTCCTGCCGCCCACACACATTAGCATGGCTTCAGGTAGCAGCCCTAACCACAGGCATGGCCTTTGGTGGTAACACTGGCCACAGACATCAACACGGCTCTTGGCCATATCAGGACCACTGTCCCACTCACGGCCCTCAGCGGCTGATGACCATGAGCCTCAACACTGCCTTAGGTGGCGACACATGCCACTTACATCAGCATGGCTCCCCAAGGCAGCAAAGCCAAGGCATGGGGCAGCGACACAGACTGCAAACATCCACATGGATCTCAGGCTTCGTGGCGGTCCAGGCAGCAACATGGACCTCCGACACCAACATGCCCTCTGGTGGTATTGAGGACCATGGTGGTCCTTTGAGGAGGTCCAATCCAGGAAGTGAAACTTTCCCATCTCCGGCCTCCAACATTGCCCAGAGCCAGGGGAATCCCGCAGCCAGGTGGCAGGTTCAGGGCTGAGTCTGTGTCTGCATAAGTTCCCGGCTGTTGTGCACCATCCCACCAACCCTACCGGACAATGACAGCATGTCGACCTCAGCCTTCTCTCTCACCTGTCACCACCATCATGTCTCCAGGTCCACCTCTCCCTAGCAAGGGCACCACTCAGTTTTTCTGTCTTTGCTCTTCTCCATCAAGTATTTATTGTAGTGGTGCCTGCCTACCCCAGGCAGCAGGGGCCCCAGGCAGCACTCAGGTGTGTCCATCCACCTAGGCCACCTTTAAAACATTTTTAAAGTGGTAACACAATTAGCATAAATTATAGAAATGGCAGAAACATGAGGGGAATACACTAATGACAGAAAGTTTAAAAAAAATTACCTCCCAAAAGGAGCTCTTCTTAAAATCATATGGTCAATATTTTAAAGAAACTAATAGGTAATTACAATGCAAACTCTGGTCAAAGTTTTAAGTCCATGTATTTATTTCATATTCTCTCTCTCTCTCTCTCTCTCTCTCTCTCTCTCTCTCTCTCTCTCTCTCTCTCTCTCTCTCTCTCTCTCTCCTCTCTCTCTCTCTCTCTCTCTCTCTCTCTCTCTCTCTCTCTCTCTCTCTCACACACACACACACACACACACACACACACACACACACACACACACACACACCTCTCTTTTTAGGAGGACAAATGCAGACATAATGTTTCACCAAGTCCATCATATTGAAGCATTCCATATTGGTGTCCTCTTTTCCAAGCTCTAACTAAAAATTAAGTGCATTATAACTAGGCCGGGGGCGGGGGGATGTAGCTCAGTTGTCTAGCACACAGTAAGTCTTGGGTTTGATCCCTGGTACCTCATAAACCAACCAGACCTGGTGGCACATGTTTGTCATCTCAGCACCTGGAAGGTGGAGGCAGGGGGATTGCATCCTCCACTATATAACGAAGTGAAGGCCAAGTCGGGAGACATGAGATTTTGTCAAATAAATAAACAAACAAACAAATGTTCTCCATTAAATGTTCTCTTTAACCCCAAGTGGTGACTGTGGGTCTTGGTGTATTGGTCATCTCAGGATGAAAGTCCCTTGTCAATGATCTACAAATCTATCAATCACTTGCAACAAGAGTTAAGATCACCTTAACATATGATAGTACAATGTCATTGACTTTGATTCCTTATGGGGACAATAAGCCCATATTGAAAGGCCAATGTGAGTGAATAACTGTTAAGTACTTAAATGAATATATGGGTGTATTAAGAACAGTCATAGTGTGGCAGGTGACTGAAGGTTGAAACATCAAGATTAACATATGATTTGTGTATTTTAATTTCAATTTTAAAATTAAAATATAATTACACCTTTTCCCCCTCCCTCTCTTCCCTCCAACCCCTCCCATCACACCTCTTATCCTGCGTCCTCTCAAATTCATGGCTTCTTTTTCTTTATTGCCACATATATAAACAGATAAATATATAAATACAATTTACTGAGTATGTTTAGTGTTACTTGAATGTATAGGATTTCAGCACTGACCATTTGATATTAGATAACCAATTAGGGGGCTCATTCCCGAGGAAGACTAATTCTTCTCTCATCAGTTGTTAAATGCCTGATGATCTATAGCTCTTTGTCTAGAGCTGGGAACCAGTGAGATTTCCCCCTTCCATGTTATCATATCTATGGTGTTATCGTTGTTCAGATCCTTTATGCAGACATATTGCTGAGGTATCATGGGTGTCGTTTCCCTGTCTTTCTAGGAGACATGATCTTGCAGCAGACTTTATAGTAATTTTTTTTTAAAGAATCACATGACATAAGCCAGGTTGCAGAAGACTGGAAGTCTTTTCTCACCTGGGCTTCATGTAATGAATAGAGCCAGCTCACAAAGAGCCTGCAAAACACGAAAGGGATGGACAGGCATTATGTAAGTGTTCAATAAAGGACTGCAAGCCTCTTGATCTGGTGTGTGAGGCTCCTTCCTTGGTTCACTAGCCCACTCCCATTGGATGCTTTTCCTTTCATGATACACCATCTGTTTCTATATCTAATCACATCTCCTCAATGCAGTCCTTTGTCCTTGGACACCATAGCCTGGAATTGGGTGCCCCTGAACTCAGATCTGGAGCTCAGCACTAAGCAGGTTTTTCCTTCTCCTTTTCTTTGTCTCTGTTTTGGATACTGGCCTAAAACCTAAGCATGCTTCCCAGACACCCTTTGTCAATGTTTTCGTGACTCTGCACCTGACTTAAAAAGCATAGTTTTGTTTGGTTTCATCTCCTCTCCTCCTGGCAGCTGCCAGGATTTGCAGCTTGCCTATCCTGTTGTTTTTCTCTCAAAATTGGCTGTGCTTGGGCTTCTTCAAATCTTTTTTAAAATTCTTTTATTAAAGAGACTGAGAATCCAGAAGGACATCTCAGTTCCCCATAACCAAAGGACCATTGAGCCTTCAGAAGATGTCTTTATCTCAGATATATCATTCTCCAGAGCAGTGAAAATAGTTAACTCAAGTGCAGATAGGCCAGCATGGCCAATCCAGATCAGAAAAGTTAGTAAATGTGTGCATGTGTGTGTTCTTTTGTGTGAAGGAAAATATCGAGGGCAGTAACTCTCAGTGTAACTTTGGTTGCATGAACAATGAGTCCATGAGGTGCTCATTGCTCAGGAAGGATGACTGACTGGCCTGTCTTCTTAAGCAAAGAGGTCCAACATGAAGGAAGTCAGCTGTGTGACCACCTCTCTCTTTTGTTAAATTTTTTAAAATTCATTTTACATACCAACCACAGATCCGCCTCTCATCCCTCCTCCTGCTCCCTCTCAGTCTTCCCTCCAGACCCCCCCATCCCCTCCTCCAAAGGGGTAAGGCCTCCTATGGGGAGTCAGCAAAGCCTAGTACATTTAGTTGAGGCAGGACCAAGCTCCTCCCCACTGCATCAAGGGTGAGCAAAGCATCCCACCATAGGTAGTGGACTCCAGAGAGCCAGTTCATGCACCAGGGATAGACCCTGATCCCACTGCCAGGGGCCCTTCAAACAGACCAAGCTACACAATTGTCTCCTGTATGCAGAGGGCTTAGTCCAGTCCCATGCAGGTTCCACAGTTGTCAGTCTAAAGTTCGTGAGTTCCTATGAGCTTGGTTTACTGTCTCTGTATATTTCTCCATCATGATCTTGACACCACCACCCCCCCCCACTGCTCATAGAATCCCTCTTCCCTCTCTTCCACTGGACTCCTGGAGCTGGGCCTGGTGTTTGGCTGTGGATCTCTGCATCTGTTTCCATCAGTTCCTGAATGAAGGCTCTATGATGACAGTTAGGGTATTCACCAATCTGCTTACCAGAGTAAGCCAGCTCAGGCACCCTCTCCACTATTGCTAGTAGTCTAGTCTGGGGTCATCCTTATGGGTTCCTGGGATTTTCCCTAGCACCAGAGTTCTCCCTTACCCCCATAATGTCTCCCTCTATCAAGATATCTTTTTCATTGCTCTTCCACTCTGTCCCTGCCCAACTCAATCATCCCATTCCCTCATGGTCTCAACCCCTATCCATGCCCTCTATTGCCCCCACCTCATCCCCAGTTTACTCATGGAGATTTCATCTGTTTCCCCTTCTCAAAGTGATCCATGTGTGTGACCACCTCTTTTCGAAATGCCTTCATAGACAAGAACGTGAACAATGGAACTATCAATAGACATACTAACATGGAAGGAAGAAAGTCTCATAGGATCCCACACACAGACAAAGAGCTATAGGCAACTAGTGAATGCTGAGAGAGAATTAGCCTCACCCAGGGATGAGTCGCCTGCTTGGTTATCCAATAGGGGGAGGTCAGCTCTGAAACCATACATACACAGCTCTGAAACCAAACAAGAAAAATAGATTTAGCAGGCTATATTTATGCATATAACGCAACAATAATGATCAAATAAAAAAGCTATCAAATTGAGAGTGATGAGGGCATTGGAAGAAGAAAGAGAGGGGGAAGTAATATAGTTATATTTTTATTCATTTTAGTTGAATAGAATTATATCAATTTCCTCTCCTCCTCCCTCCAGCCATTTCATGCCCCCACTGTCAGGTTGATAGCCTCTTTTTCTTCGATTGTTATTGTTACAGATGTGTGTATGTATGTGCATACACAACACACACACACACACACACACACACACACACACACACACACAACCTGCAGTCTGTTTTTGTTTGTGTGCATGTTTGTGTGCATGTTTGTGTTTTCAAGGCTGACTATTCTGCATTGGACAATCAATAATGGGGCTCATCCCTGAAATGGGCTAATTCTCCTTTTCACAGCAGTCATTAGCTGCCTGTGGTTCTTTGACTAGGAGACGGACCCCATGAAATTTTCCCCCTTTCTCCATTAACTTGTGCATTGATATTACCTCTGTTCCAGTCTTGGTTTTGCAGCCATTCCTTGGAGACACTACTTCAAGCAGAATTCTTGCTGTTCGCGCTCTTACAATCCTTCTGCCCCTCTTCTTCTATGTTCCCCGAGCCATAGATGTAGGAGCTGTGATGGAGATGTATCCATTGGGGCTGTGCTCCCCACAATCCATTGATATTTGCCTTATATTCAGTTGTGATTTTTCTGTCACGGTCTCAGCTTGCTGCAGAGAGAAGCTTCTTTGATGAGGAATAATAGCTACACTTAGCTGTGGGTATAAGGATAAGAGTTAGAATTTAGATAAGGAATAATCCCATCTCTCTCATCTGCAGTTCCTAGCTCCAAATCTTCAGATGTGAGTATATGAGTAACCACAGAAACCAGGAAAGTATAAAGGAACTCCATGTGTGTGTGTGTGTGTGTGTGTGTGTGTGTGTGTGTGTGTGTGTGTGTGTGTGTAGGGGAGTCAGGGGTTGAGGGGGAATAACAGAATATAGGTGATATGAAAGGGGAAAATCAGAGCGGAGGCTCTAATTGAGAAGACGAAGAAAGGACAAATAACACTGAGGTCATTTGATAACTGTGGGGGGGCAGCTCCCACAGTTATTTACCCCAAGTACTCTTGAGGAGTGAGGGATAAAAGAGTTAGATAGAAATATGGAGGAGAGAGACAGACAGAAAGAAACACAGGATAGCCTCGGGAGGGCCTGGGTCAAAACCCACCAGCCCCTTCTGTCTCTACTAAAGGGCTTTTAAAAGAATGCCAAGGGGTGGAGAAAAAGACCTCCCCCCAGCACAGCCAAGTGCAGAATAATCCCAAACACCTGGTGACCATGCGTGTGGTCAAGCCATCCCCTAATGCAGCCCTGCTGCGTGAAGCAAGCTCAGATCTCACCAGAAAACCTTGGTGGGCCTCTACAGATAATGCATCACAGTTTTAATGGTACTTCCTTGCTTGACTTCTGCTAGACACTATTTCATATTTTGTAATTAATTATGAAAACTTTTTAAATTTCAGTTCTGTTAATCTTAGAGATCTTCCCAGGAAACGTATTTGTAAAAAGTTTGCCTTTGTTGGTTCTTTCCTTTTCCTTTGACAGGATTTACTGGATCTGCCTCCTTGATCTCTTCCTGACCATCTTAGAGTTATTGTCACCACCACCTTAGCACCCTGGATGGCCTTCTCCCATCACTTACCTAAGCCCAGACCTTCCCCTCAATGCAGCCAAACAACACACTGAGTAACCCTTGCCTGACTGGGCTCTTTGCTTAAATATCCTCAATGATTTCTCTTTGCCACAGGGTGGCACCAATAAAAAGACATCTATCGTCGCAAAACAGAAATAACAAGTCATGAAGTTAAATGACATGCATGTGACTTTACCAATTAAGATGTTTTAAAATGGTTGAGGTTGAAGACATGTGATCTTTCAAGTTCAGCCTGTTGAACAATGTATGTTCAATCAGGTATGTGTGGGGGCTATGAAAGGTACGGCAAGGCAATAAAGGTGAAGGTGAAGGCAATGAGCCTACATCTTGCCTGTGATGACAAGTTAAAGTGAAGCCTGGGTATCCTTAAAAACTCAGCTTGGTGCACCTGGGGATAGGTAAGGCCCTCCTGTGGCTCCCTCCCCTAACAACATTATATGAGGACAAAAAAAAAAAAAATACCGTGTAGATAAAACAAAGAGCAATTTGGGCAATAAGACACGCTTCTGCCTCAGGGTTTGAAAAAGCTGAGAGCAAAGACAAGGTTATGGTAAAGGGCTTGGGCCTTGGCTATCAAATGGAGCAAGTTCACACCCCACAGGCGTAAACCAAGAAGGCCAACTCCCTGTGCTCTGCCTCTCTGCCAAGGACATGGCCGTGCCTAGGGTGCTGTCCTGGTGATGTCCTAAAGTGGCTTGAGCTGCTGTTGATGTCAGCAGTTTGCTGCCTGGCCACTCCACTTGTTCTTCAATAGTGCTACCACAGTTTGCCCTCTGGGAGCTGCCAAACTGGAGATGTACCTCTGTCTTTAGAGCAGTCTATAATCTTAATTATAGCCTGTTCCTTCCTCCACTTTCCCCAGGACCCATTGCTGTCCCCTCATCTCCCCTCTCTCTGTCATGCTCCACCTCCAGAAGTCCTGACCCTCTCAACGAATCTCCTGCCCTCAGAATCCTTGCATGTGCACCTTAGGGAGCCAGAAATGGCCATTTTCTTTTCCCTCTTCTTCGACTGACTCAGCGTGAATAATTTGGAATTTTAGCTTTAACATTATCATCACCCTAGGAAGGAAGAATGGCGCAAATTACCTCAAACATTATTTGGGTACCGCACTTTTTCCTAATAACTATCACCTTTATAATATTTACAGTATTTAAATTCATATTTAAAACTGTACTTGATTACAGATACCTTGAGTTGTCATAACTTGGAGAATGAAAAAAATAGACCTTGTTTTCAGACAAAGAATGTATTTATAAAAGGTTTGGGTACAAAACAATGTTTGAAAATAATGAAAAAAACATAATTGTAGTCTATATCATAATTAAATATAGATTTCAAAGACCAGCCAGAAAAACAGTTTGTCCATAGAAGGAAAAAAGTATTGAGAATTTTTAAAACATAAACAAAGCTGAGGAGAAGGAAGTCCATCCTCTAGATGTGCTCAGCAGGGGAGGTGGAAAGAGCAAGCTCCAAATTAAGTCAACTGTCACCTCTTGCTACATCTTAACATCATAAATGAAGTGTCCAAAAATTTCTCAGTGTCTGTTGTTCAAGGAAAATCCAGGCACAAGGATGACACTCTTATCTGCCCCGCTTCTGGTGAAGAGAGGCCACAGCAGTAGCCTGGCAGGTGGCGTTGACAGTCCTCCAAGGCTACAGCTTCACTACCACATGATGACTGTCTCCCTCCAGTGTGTGAACACAGAGAACCCCACCCCACCCCTCCGGCTACCAGGGTCCCCTCTAGCAGCACAAGGCATATGGTCCATGTTCTCTAGTCACTCAGCCAGTGGCAAGTGGCCAGCTTCTTGAGACTGGAACCCAACAGAGACCAGAGTGTGACTTCCAGCAGGATCACATGAAGAGAAGACACTTGCTTGGAGAGTTGGACTTGCTTCTCCTTGTAATAAATTTTAACCCCTGTAAAGCCTTAACTCAAGGAATTTATCACATACATTGTGGCAACTTAATCAGATAAATGAAGTAATTGGACTTAAGTGGAAGGAAGAACTTAGTCATAAAGTTCCTGTGAAAATTTGTAAGCTAAGTATTCTACTACCTTGCATCCATTTTAAAGAAAAATGAAATAAAATAATATACATAGGCAAGGATGTAGACAAATTAGAACTTTTGTTTACTGTTGGAGGTACTGAAAAATGGCATAGCTCCTAACCATATGATATCATAATGTTACTTCTGTTTGTATTTCTAAAATAATTAAAAGCAAGAACTTCCAAAGATCTTAATACATACACACAACAACAGCAACTTTATTCACAATAACCAAAAGATGTAAGCACTGAGTGTTTATTAAAGGATAAATGGAAAAGGAAATTATACAATTTACAGTTTTGAATGTTGCTTAACCTACAAAGGAAGAAAATGTTGGCATCCTGACAATGATGCTACAATGTGGAGCAATATGGAGGACAAAAGGCTCATCAAAATAAGCCAACAACAGAGCAAAAATTATATCATCTCATTTATTACAAGTGTCTTGATTAGTTAAATGTCTAGAGACAGAAGGCAGACGATAAGGACCAGCAGCTGAGTGACGGGGGGAAGGAGAGTTATTGTTTAAGGATAATGGGTTAATTACTTTTCTGTGGCTGTGATAAGACACCATTATCAAAGGCAACTTACGGAAGAAAGAGTATATTTTGATTTATGGTTCCAGGAAGACAAAAGTCCATTATGGGAGGAAGTCATGGCAGCAATTACGGAGGCAGGAACAGAAAGCTGAATACTTATATCTTTTTAAAAAAATTTTTATTAATATATTTTTCCTTTATTTTACATATCAACCAGTTTTCTGTCTCTCCTTTCCTCGTGTTCCCTACACACACACACACACACACACACACACACACACACACACACACACACTGACTCCCATCTACTCCCCTCCCCATCTATCCACTCCTCCTCCATCTCCATTCAGAAAGGAGCAGGCCTCCTATGGACTTGAACATAGCATGGCACATCAAGTTGAGGTGGGACTGAGCTCCTCCCCCTGGGGAAGGTAATCCAGCATGGGGAACAGGTTCCCAAAAGCCAGCCAAGCACCAGGGATAGGTCTTGACCTCACTGCTTACAAACAGACCAAGCCACACACTGTCACACACATGTAGAGGACCTAGGTCGGTCCCATGCAAGCTCCCTAACTGTTGGTCCAGAGTCCATGTGTTCCCAGGAGCTCAGGTCAGAATGCTTATATCTCAACCATAAGTACAAAACACAAAAGAGAAAACAGGAATGTCACCAGACTTTTAATCTCAAAGCCCTCCCACAGTGATTTACTTCCTGCAGCAAGTCTGCACCACCTAAGCCTTACCAAATCGTGTTACCAATTGGGTACCAAGTGTCCAAATGCCCAAGACTATTGGAAACATTTTTCCTTTAAAGCATCACAGATATAGAATTTCATTTTTGCAAGGTGAAAAGTTTGGTGTACAAATAGTGTTGTCAGTAAATGTATGTTTCAGAATGGGTAAAATGTTGTGTTAGTTGGAGTTCTCTGAAGAAACAGTCAATTGTGTGTATGTGTGAGCAGGGAGATTAGATGATGGAGGCCAAGTCCTAAGATCTGAGGTTGGCAAGTTGGAAGGCTAATAGTGTAAATTTCAACCCAAAGGCTACAGACTTCAGACCCAAGAAAAGCCAATGTTTCCATTCATACTGAGAAGACCAAGCAGATGCCGTAACAGGCTGCTCAGTCTTCTCTCAGAGATCAGGCCTCAATTTCAGTTTCCTAAGATTGAGCAAGCAGTTTCTGGGAGGGCCATGAACAAAAGAAAATTAATAACTGATGCTCCTGTCAACAGGGACAGGGAGATAAGACACACCAAGCCTGGCCACTGAGTCAGTCCCACAGTCAATAAGTGCTAGACCAGCCGGCCTCCACAGCAGCTCAAGGACAAAGCCTGGGACTTGTCCAGGCCTGCCTCAAAATGGCTAAGTGTAGCCTTGACAAACCCCCAACTAACCCTAGCCAATTAAAAGTTATTAACATGATTGTCACTCACGTAAACCAATCCTGAGTCGGTTCCTATGTAATCTGTAGACCCCAAGACTCCCCCAACCTTGCTTTACCTACTATTAAAACCCTGCCCTGTTGCTACTCAGGGTCTCTCCTGCTCTGCTGCGTCGTCAGTCAGACAGAGAGGCCTGAGCTAACTCTCAATAAAAGACTCTTTGCTTTTGCATCGGTTTAGCCCTCGGCATATTATCACTCAGCTGAAAGAATGCCAAGCACGATTCTTGTTCATTTCCCTCCATTCTCAGCTGGCCTTTAGTAGTCTCATCTCTCAACCTCTAACATCCTCTCCTCCTTGTTCTTGTCTCTGCCAACCATGGCTACTCATCCCCAAGGTCACATGGTGTTCTGTGCTATTGTTAATGATAACCTTCCCAAATCATGAACCCATCATTTCCAGCCTCTCCTGCTCCTTCTCTCTAGCACACTTTTCCTGCCTACCTTCCAGGTTAACTAACATCCTGCCACAAGTGGAAGTAAGTGTGTTTTCAGAATCAGACACCAGATGGCAACCAAGGACACCTAATCCAGGAACAGACCTGGCCATTCACTCTATGGAGGTTGAGAGCATGCACCAGAGACCAGAGAGGGGCCTTAAAAGAAGGCATCGAGCCAGCACATTCCCATGTTTACTGCGGTGCCCAAAGCTCACAGCACTAGCTGGCCTCTTCACCAGCTCTTCCACCTAGTGCCTGATTTCAGAGTGCGGAAGCACAACTTTCCATCCCTTTGTTAGCGGGACATGGCTGCATGTTTTCCACAGCTGTTTCTGATGTTAATCTACTCCTTCTCCCAGAGAGTCTATGAGATGAGGGATTTCAGCTTTAACTCCCAATCTAGA